CCTGAAAAGCATCAGAAACTGCCAGTGCTGCTGTGTAGCATCCGTGGTTGCCTTGGCTACACCCCATCCCTCCCTCCATTAATCTCTTCTCTCACCAGACGATGCACATAATGCATGCTAGCAATGCAGGTGAACTCGGTTTTAATGGGATTAGGTTACCTAAAAATGGGGGCACATCTGGATTTGCAGTGCTTGGTGGGGTCGTCATGGGTAGGAGAACATGTTATTTTTAAAGAATGCCTGAGAAGATGCTACCTGAGGGAAGAGGCTTTACAGAGCAGCTTAATGTGGGCTGAGGAAAGAGGGGGAGAAGGAAGCTGGAAGGATTGGAAGTGTCTTCAGGACATGGTGTCTTCCGGAGTGAGGAGAGTGACGGGATCTAATCTTGCCAGAGAGAAATACGTTTTTCCTGTGTTGATGTGAAAGAGCAGCTGTAGTGTGTGTATTGAATTTGGTGGTGGAGCAGGATTCCTCATCTCCCTGTGTCCCAGCTGTGGGTGCCCATGCTCCTGGGGAGGCTCCTGCATTCTTACCGTGCTGCCGTCACTGCTGCACACACAAACAGCACCCAATGGCTTTCTGGAGGCACTCATGGCTTTGGGAGTAGAGCAGGGCAGGAGAGAGCTTCCCAAACGTGCAGGTCAGAGCAGGAGCTGGGGCGGGAGGAGGCTCCCGAGCCTTCCCGTACTCTGCTCATGCCCCATGCCTTGGCGACGGAAACGTGTGTGTGGGTAAAGCCTGCTCAGGAGCTCAATGGGCAGCGCTTACCTAGAAACAAAATTTAATGTTGTATTTTTTAAAACCGTTTTGGTCCTTTGGGAACGGAAAGTGTCCGAGTGTTCATCTGCCTCTGCAGGAGAGCAGCCCCGTGTGTTTGTCCCAGAGGCTTGTTACAATCCTTACCATTGCTGCTGTTTGTTGTTGTAACTGATGAATGTTAGCAAACTGTGCAGAGATTGCTTGGAAATATTTACCTAAAACATACGGTTTGAACTGCAATAAACAAACCTGCTGGAGTATTTGCTGAGCATGAACATGCAAGGGCTGTGAAAATGGCCGGACTTAATTCACTTTCATGTTCCAATGAATGTTTGCAAATATTTCTTCGCTGTAGCCACCCAGCTCTTCCAGATGTTGTGGCTGCCTCTTGGAAGCGCCTGTGCACAAGCTGAGCTAATAATATTAATCAAACCTCATGTTAACTTCCAGGGCATTCAGTCATTATCGCAGGAATTTTCTCTGCAGTGAGCAATTTTGCACACTTGGTTGGGATGAACCGTGCTGGGTTTGCCTCTCTTTGTCTGCCTCTGAAATACGGAGTATGGGTTGCTGCTCTGGGCAGGGTAATGGTAGGATGGGCCATTAGAATTAAAAAGGAAGAAAGTTTCCAGTGCTGGAATTTGAGCTCGATCCATGCAGGAACTGGCTTTTGGGACCAGCCGACGTCACCCCACTGTGGGGTTGAGGAGGTGCCACTGCTGTGGGCGCTGGGCGGAGGAACCCGCGGTGGTTGCAGGCAGTTGGTGGCTTTTGCTCTGCAGGGGACTGTCCTCCCTGGAGTGACCCCACCATCACCTATGGGGGGCTGCTGGGGCGTGCGCTGAGGCTGGTGCTTTGGATTGAGGACACTGTCACAGCTGAGCTGTTCCCGGGCTGCTGCTGGTCCTTGGTCACTTCCTTGCTTTCGTGCCTTCCATGTGAACACGTTGGTGCTTGCATGTGGCGGTTTATCTCTTATCTCTACTTTAACATTTGCCATTTTCAGGCAGCACCAGTTGGTTCTACTTGTGTCTGTCCCAGGTTCTGTTGTGTCATGTCCTTTGGTTTGGAGAGGAAGTCTCCACCCAGACCATCTCGAGATCCCGGGCATGGAGGAGGGCTCTTATTAGAAGGGTATTGCTTTTGCTAATAGCACAAGTTTCTTGCAGTAGTTGCTAATAGAGGCAGTTGTGCAGTTTCATAGAATCACAGAATAGTTAGGGTTGGAAAGGACCTTGAGATCATCTTGTTCCAACCCCCCTGCCGTGGGCAGGGACACCTCACACTAAACCATGGCACCCAAGGCCTCGTCCAACCTGGTCTTGAACAGTGCCAGAGATGGAGCATTCACAACCTCCCTGGGCAACCCATTCCAGTCCCTTACCACCCTTACAGTGAAAAACTTCCTCCTTATATCCAGTCTAAACTTCCCCTGTTTAAGTTTTAATCCATTGCCCCTTGTCCTATCACTACAGTCCCTAATGAAGAGTCCCTCCACACCATCCTTCGCATCCCTCTATTCTCTCTAATCTAGGCAGCCTTCTCTTCTCCAGGCTGAACAGCCCCATCTTCCTCAGCCTGTCTTCACACAGGAGGTGCTCCAGGCCCTGATCATCCTCGTGACCTCCTCTGGACTTGTTCCAACAGCTCCATGTCCTTTTTATGTGGAGGACACCAGAACTGCACACAGTGCTCCAGGTGAGGTCTTACGAGAGCAAAGTAGGGGGGCAGGATCACCTCCTTCGACCTGCTGGTCACGCTTACGTTTAAACATAATTTGTTTGAAAATTCCTTGGTTTCAATTAGGTGTGCATCATGACTGACAGTGATTTATCTGACACTTGGCAGCCACGAGGTAGTGATGTGATGACACCGTTTTGCATTACCCGACTAATTTTAACCTGCTGAGTCCCATCAGTCTCCACTAGCAATACCCCCAGGTCTGTGTGCGCTGCAGAAGGCAAGTGCTGGGCACTGCTGCTTTGAAGGAGGCAGAGGCAGTGAGGAAGGCCGGTGAGACTGGTCTGCTGGGAGAGTTTGGACAAGCACTGGGCAGTATCTCCTGCTTAAGAACATGATTCTCATCAGGTGGATCAGCACAACTTTAGGTTTTTAATACAAAGGGGTTTGGGTTTGCTATTTTTTTTTTTTTTCCTCCAGAAAAGCATCATAGCTTTGTCAAGATGGAAATACTGCAAAAAAGTAAATTGGGCTGAATTTGTCCCTTCAGATTGGCTTTGAGAAGACCTGTGCAGATGCAAGACTTACTGCAGGCTCTCATCCCCTGTGTGTTTTGGGTTTGAATGACCATTTTCTGTGCTCTTTAACAACAGACCAAGAGATCTTGAGCTCCCCCACAGCATGTGGCATCATGTGGACAGTGGCAATTGGTATTGACTTTGCAAACTTAGGATGATATTAATTCACTTCATTTCCTTGGGTTTTCCTCTGAGGCCAGCAAGTCCTGTTCATCACTGGGGACAGCTTTTTGCATTGATTCCTTTATCAGTAATTTGCTTCTGAATATGCTGGTTTGTGAGTAAATAAGGATATTTTTTTGTTCTTTAGATGTTTGTACCATGTGAGCTTCCTCACTTAATTACTGGCGAGAACCTGCTCCATTCTGGGTGTTGGTGGTGTGGGCATGGCTGATGCAGGCATTGCTGCCGGTGCAGTGCAGCTCAGGCCTGGCTCTGATCCCGGCCCAGCACCAGGCACGCAGAGCTGAGTGCTGGGTCCCGCTCTGGGGACGTGCTGTTGAGAGGCCGGTCCCTGGAGCCTGCAGCAAATGCTCCTGCAGAAACCCCACCGCGATCCCGGGGCCCCTTGTGACAGCAGATCAGCAGTGGGACTCTTTCCTCTTTCTCTGCAGCAGAGGAAGAAAGCTGCTGTCACAAAGACTAATCTCAAGGCGCTGGCTTTTCCTGTACCAAGACCAGCATGTCCTGTACAGTCAGGGAGACCTAAGAATAAGAAGTGCTGGGTACTGTGTGCACTCTGAGTGTTCGCTATCTGTATTTGTGAACAAATACAAATAAGAAAAGCCGTTTCCCTTCCTCAGTTCTCTGCACGATCCCATTTGAGTTTTTAATGTTTTATAAATAGAAAGTTATTCAGGTATATTTACATTCAGGGTAGTGAGTTTAAATTTAACATCTCATCAAATAGCATCTATTTAGGGAGTCTTTTTTTTCCCCTGTGATTTTCCCGAAGTGGCATCCTAACATCAGCCTGGGATGCAGTGGCCGAGGCTGCCATGCCCACGGGGCATGGACTGCAGTGGACCAGCTCCGCAGCACAGATGTGTCCCTCATGTCAAGGGCCAAGCTGGAAACATCCTCAGGGAGGAAAAGCTGCTTGTTACCCCTCAGAGGCAAGCACAGGCTGTGCAGGGAGGGTCTGGGGCGTGATGGGGCTCAGGGGGAATGGGAGGGAAGAGTAGAAGCTCCTTGTGCTGGGCAAGGGCAGGCTGTGTTAATTCATCTCTGCCTGCTTAAACTCTGCTTTGGGGTATTATGTGATGAACTCTGCTCCTTGGTGCTGCTTATTTATCAAAACTAAGAAACCAATGCCAACCACAGGGAACTGTAATGCACTTTGGGATTTGGGGAACGTGAGCATCTTTGACCTGCTGGTGTTGGATCCTTTGTCCAAGCAGTGGGTGAGGGCATCTTGCAGAAGTGCAAGCCCAGAGCATGGCTGTGCCAGGCTGAGGTGTGTGATGGAGCTTTGTGTGGGGTTTGCGCACGGTTGCACTAATGCAGCGTGTGGTGGAGCAGCAGCAGTGCTGCTCTGGAACCGTGTTCCTTCTCCTGTCATTTACAGCATTGTGTCCCCAGGCTCTAAAGTTTCTCTCTGGTGTTATAATACTGTTTTGGATGCGAGCATATAACCAAGCATTAAAAGCATTTTCTAGTTTAAACCAGGGACTTCTAGACTAGTTTATTTTTTTAATATCACTGTGATTGTGTAATGAGCTGTTCAGTTCCTGTTTGGTGTCTGGTGTAGCAACTGCTTGAGTGAAAGGAATACAACTTGCCCCATGGAGGGTGGTCAACCTGCACTGCTTGGCTTTGTGAAGCACAAGAAGGATGATGTGAAGCAAAGCTTGAGGAGTTCCCTGAATGCTGTGGTTGTGTTGCGTGGATGGGGTTGTGCGTGTTGGTGGGTTCCATTGATGGGTTGTGCCTGTGGATGTGTTGCGTTGCAGTTCTCCTAATGCTCTCTCTGAACCCTTTCAGCCCACGACCTTCCCCCGAGCAAGACGTCGGCGGCGCAGACGGGCAGCCACCTGCAGTGCCTCTCGGTCCACTGCACGGACGACGTGGGCGAGGCGAAGGGCCGGACTGCGGTGCCGACGTGGAGGTCCCTGCACTCGGACATCTCCAACAGATTTGGAACTTTCGTGGCCGCCCTGACTTGAACAAAAGAAATTATTTTTTTTCTCTTTTTAATTTCAAAGGGCCGCTACTGCTAGGTGGACTATTTTTCTAGGTTGGTACCTGCTTAGTGGCATATGGACTGGAAAGGGTTAATTTAAAGTAAACCTCAAGTTTTTTTTAATCGTCTGCCACAGTATGTTACCAGTGTTAACCCTTCTGCAGTTAGCACACTTTTGCTTAAGATTTTCCTGCTAGACCACTTTCTCCCATTATTCTGTAACCTTGGCATACATTCATAGATGAGGCCTTTTCCTTTTTCATCTCAGCGTATGTCCAAGTCATGTATGTCATAATAAGACAAAGCTCCTCCTCCTCATTTGCTTTGTTTTTCCTTTTTTTTGTTTTGTTTTGCTTTGTTCAGTGCTTATTACAATGGTGATCCTGAAGAACAGCAGTTCAGGAATAAACGCCGGTTAAAGTGAAATGGTCATCATTATATTATATATTATATTGACACCCAGCTTTTGCCAGTCACATACAGGCCAAACGCTCTGGTGAACATTCAGGCAAGGAGCCTGCCCTTTCCCGAGACAGCGATGTGCTGCCACTGGTACCGTTCCACCGCCCCGGCGGGGCGAGGGCGCGCTCCTGTGTGTCCCCTGGTGCAGCCCAGGGATGGAGCTGTCAGGAGCGGTCTGGCCCTGGCGCGGCCGGGGAAGGGAGAGAGAAGTTTTTCTGAATGAGTCAGGAAGTTTGCTGGAAGTTCGGAGCCATCATCACCTCCTTCGAGTGCCCAGCACCCCTCTGCTGTGAGGGGCAGCGGGGCCGCAGCTTCTGGTCCTGGTGGTGCTCCCGCAGCTCCCACTTCATCTCTGATGGAGAAATTACCCCCAGAGCTGGGGCTGTCACCAGTGTGCCCTGTGTTCCCAGAGCCCATTTTAGCTGAAGGAAGAAGACGCTGTTGGTCAAAGCGGGGTGCAGTGTCCCATGCCCTTGTCTGTGGGTGCCCGGCTCCTGCTGCAGCTGTCCTAGTGCGGTGGTGGTGGTCAGGGTCAGCCCATGCAGGGGATGCAGGTGCTGCATGCCCAGGGTCAGCATTTCCTAACCTGCCAGGGCAGGGAGACCCCACGCTAGACCCCCCAGACTCATCCGAGGCCCCGTTTCTGCCACGCATTGAGGAACAGTGCTACTGCACGCACACAATTAAAGGAAAACCATACTTTTCCTGCTCGAGATAGATAATGCTCATTTGAGAAGGAAGTTGGAAGCAAACCAGATAAAACCACGACTGACGTGATGATCCAACCCTCCTGCTGCCTGTTCTTTGTGTTCCTCCGCTCAGGAACGTGCACCACCCTGCTCAGGGAGCTCCCTTCCCTCTGCTCCCCGAAGCCTTAGAACATCACTGGAGATTTAGGTTTTAGCTGTGAAATAAAGGTTGGCCTCTAGGGTTATTTATTACTTCTGTCATGAATTCACAGAATGTGTCCCTGCTCAAGGGACAGAGTGTGAAGACTGTTTTGTGGTTTATCTTTGATGATTGTGCTGGGACTTTAATTATTTTGAAGTAATGGTCTCAGTAGGCACCAATAGAGAGGAAATTCTGCCTAAAACACCAGTGGCACGGGGTGGTCTGAAATCCTCACTCGGTCGTATGGGGCTTCAGAGAGACTCACAGTGTTTGGAAGTGTTATTTGAATGTGCTGTTATTAACCATGCATGGATTGATTTCCTCTTATGGGTCTGGACAGTGACTTGGTTTTGGATAAATCTGGATAGTTTTGAACCTTGATTTTCAATAATATTTTACTTTCTGTTGAAGCTGGAGCTGCCACAAGGATGAGAATTTTTGCCCATCCTGGAGCAATTGGCTTGGAGCTGCCTCACACCCACTTGGTTTGAACAAAAGGACGGGATGGTTCTGAGTTCTGTGCCTTCTGTAGGTGCACGCTTGCTGCCGAAAGCTCAGAGCTCCTCTCTGTACCTGCAATAAAACATCACCATCCCACTGAAATATCTCTTGGTAGGTAATAATTTCCAGCCCCCACTCTGCAAGATGCCCCTTTGCCTGTGATTTAAGTCCTGGTTCACCCAAAATGGTGTTGAACCTGAAATCCTGCCTGGCAAAGCTGTGCCTGCCGGGAGTGATGCTGTGGTGGGCTTGGTCTTTGGCTCCTGCCCCATCCTGGCAGCTCCTGCCTATATCAGCCAGGTGAGTCTTGGAGGAACCCCAGCAAAACACTTGCCTAGATCTATGATACCGCATTTCAGTGCTTACAGCTGAAAATCTAGGAAGAGTTCGTGGTCCAGTGGCATTCCTGCATGGAGTGCAGCCCCATGGCCAACTTCTTTGTTTTTAGTTTTTCCTGCTGCATTCAGGAGAACAGGTTTTTCAGGCTTCCTGAGGTCAGGGATGCACACCCTGCTACCAGGAAGAGACCTCTCCGTGAACGCATCCAGCATTTCAGATCTGTTTTAAAGAGAAATCCTCCTTGAAGCAGAAATGTGGTGACTTAGTTGGTTTCACCCACCCTTTTCTTCTGGTTTGCTCTCTGCAGCTTGTACTCCTCTCCTGCAGTTGTCCTCATCCACTTGGGACTGACTTCTTCACTTGCTCATAGAAATACAGAGTGGGAGTGATTCTTTAACCCCCCTGGAATCCTGACAGTTTCCAGTCCTGTGAGGTGAGGAGGGCTGTGCTGAAGCCAGGGACTCTGCTTCTTGCCAAGAGTCAGAACAGAAACGGTACATATCACTGACCAGGATAAGCATCGCTTCATGCTCACAACCTGGTGTATTCTATTCTATGATTCTGTGACCTGGTGTATTCTATTCTATGATTTGGTACTAATGGCACACACAGAAGGCTAGAGCTTTGTGCAAAGCTTGTGTTGCCTGCAGTCATGTCATTGAACTCATCTTCTCCATTAATTTGACACTGAATGCACTGATTTATATTTTTTTACCATACGAAGGCTCAGCACAACCCCACAGAATTGAAATTATTTCCTTTTCTGAATAATAATACCTCCAGCTGAAGTATTATTCGAGAGCTGTAGGAAAAAGCCTGTGGTGCACGAGGTAAGTTGCACTCTCATGGAGAGGGCAGCTGAGGCACAGATGCAGCGGCCCATGTGTTCCCCAAGTGACCAGGTAAAGCCAGGACAACGTGAACTGGCTCCTGCTCGTCCCACAGGGCTTCCAGATGGGGGAAAGGTTGTGCCAAGAGGGGCAGGTTGTGCCAACACAAAGTCAAAGACCCGTGGTGACTGGCCTATTAAGTTGTGCCCGATATTTGTATTGTGAACAACAGCTAAAATGCAGCTTCACATTTCTTTTGGAGACCCTGCCTTGCCCGGTGGTTTGGGTTCTCCAGGCACTGGGAAGGGGCAGCCTGAACCTCCCTGAGCTCCCAGCCCAGCTCCCTGGCTCCTTGTCTTCAAGTTAAAACAGAAGCTGTAGCAAACAGAGCAAAATGTCTCTTGCGTTTAAACTGGGAGGAGGGATGAAGTATCTCTGCCAGAAAGAGAGAGGACAGGCCTTATTTATGAAATACCCGTGTTACTCTTCCCCGGATCCCTTTTTCCCAGGGCTACTGGTTCTATGTTCTTCTAGCTCGGTTGTTAGAACAGCACTGGCAGAAGGTTTAGACTCATTTTATTTAGTTAAGGGTTCCGTGGTGGGGGTAGGGTGGAAGGGAATGAACATCAGAATTGGGCCATTGGGCCAGTTAGGGGTTGTGTTGGGTGCTGTCCACCTGCATGTACATCCTCGGGGCTGCTTGGCTTTCCTGAGCCCGGATCAGGCTTCCAGGCACCAGCAACGAGGCAGAACGTTCCCACCTCCCGTGAGGGGAGCACAGGGCAGTGGGACACAGCGGGGGAGACAGGGACAAACCTGGTGAATTTGGGTTATTGCTGTGAAGCTGCAGTGTGAGGTTTCCTCCAGGACTGGGTTCACGGCTGCCCAATGGGTGGTGTGTGAGAGCATAACCCATTTTTATAGAGTTGTTTCTCCTTTATTGCTTGTGGCTAATGGAGGAAACAGTCTAATTTTGTCTCAGAAATTCTCTATTAAAATTGTTGGTTTGAGTCCATCCGCTCGTAGGTTCTGACCGATGAAACTGCAGGCTGTGATTTCCGGCTGTTAGAACTTTATCACTATTCACTACCCACAAATATTACAGCTTTAAAACAGCCTTAAGCAAAAGGATGTTATTTCTTTGTACTGAATTTGGTTCATGGAAAAGAAGAAAACACCTCAAAACACTGGTAATCCGTACTGCATCGCAAACTCTTCTGAAAATGTTATTGCACATGTAAAATACGAAAACTTGACTCTGCTGTGTGTTAGGCAATCCTGTAATCTTTTTTCTTTTTCTTTTTTGGGTTTTTTGGTTGGTTTGTTTTGTTTTTTTGATTCTTGTTAAATTCATTTCCTAAATGCTTGGTTGGAAGACTGTGACGATAGCTCATGAAACTGAGTGGTATTTTTCTTTTTTTTTTTTAAATATGTAAAGTGCAGTCTTCTGTATTCATGCATATTGTACATATCTGTATATGTTTTACTGAGCAACTAAATAACAATAAATATGATGTTAATGGTGGCTATTGTAGATTTCATGCCATGTTTGTTTGTGTCTGAAGTCCTTCTCCCCCTGAGATGGGAGAAGTGAAGGATCTGGTCACACACAGGTAAGCCCTGAGCCTCGCGGTGGTTGGTACCAGTCCTGGCCGTGGTGTGGGGAGCCCCTGGCCAGGCGCCGGCTCCCCGCGGTGGTGGGTGTCAGGGAGGCCTGGTTGGGCTGATCCGACAGATGCCAGACCCAGGACCCTGCTGAGCTGCCCTGTCTGCAGGGAAAGAGAAACCCCCAGCCCTGAGGAGGCTCCTCCCAGGTTCAAGCATCCCTGGCACAAGAGGCAGATCCCGCTGTGAGCAGGGACCTGGATCTGCCACAGCACTTCTGGAGAGACTTTTGGGCTGAATTATGTGAACAAGAAGTAAGCAGGCGGAGCTCTTATCAAGGTTCTTCAAACCCCTACATCTCTGTTATTCAGATTTCGAACTCTGAATCCTTTCACATTCCTGTGAGCTTTCCAAGGAGTCCTTCACGGGAAATGCTGCACGGTGTTTTCCAAAGCAAGAAAACCCCATGCAATAGCCCAGGCAGTGTCCAAACACGTCGGGTTTGAGCTGAAGAAACACCCCTGTGTATGGTTCATACCTGTGGGAAGCACGCAAGTGCTCTCCTTGTGGGTTTCCCCGTTTCTGTGAGGTGCCAAAGCTGCAGCCCTGGTGCTGCCCTGTGCTTCCCAGTGTGAGATGGGGCCACTGCGTGTCCTGTGCAGCCAGGGGATGCTGTGCCTGTGCCTGCACCTCAACAGCAGCACTTGCAACCTAGGAACAAACACGATGCATCGGATCAGGAGGCACCGAGACGCTGTGCTCCCTCTGATCCCTCCACAGCGTGTTGTGACACTGAAA